CATCACTGACTCAATGGACGTGAGTTTGGGTAAACTCTGGGAGTTGGTGATGGACAGGGAGGCCTGGTGTGCTGCGGTTCATGGGGTCACAAGAGTTAGACACGACTGAGTGGCTGAACTGAAGTTGTTTACCTTTCAGAGGTGTATTTTTGAAGGAGTAATTACTGCCTCTGTATGTTCAGGGTGTGCATTTTAGGGCAGAGGGAATGTTCTTGAGTCTTTTAACTTAGTGGACAACATGGACAAATGAAATATCGACAAATATTTGGCATAGAGGTTTGATTGCTGTCTTGCTATTTGGTAAGTAAGACTGTTTAAAAACAAAGTAAAAAGCAGGTACCTCCCACTTTCTACCTAAACTATCATTATTTCATGAGGTAGAGCACATTTTAATACAAAAACAAAAATAAAAGAAAAAGATAAGAAAGGAGGAAGGACATGATTTCATAATAAAGAGAGTTCCAATATAATAAGTTTATTTTATTTACAACATTGTTCTTTTCCACATTTTTGCTAGGGACTGTTGAAAACTTGTTTTAAGGAACATTTGGGGAAATTATTCATTGGACTTCCCCTTTTGTGTTGCAGTATTTACACATGTTATGTAGATTTCCATTACTTGTATTAGAAACATGGATAGAGCTACTCTGTGTGGTTTTCATGGTCCCCGTGGTATTCAGCATAGCATGAGTTGGACTGTCTAGAATGAATTGAAATTTGAGTTTTTTAGTGTTTACCAACCCAGTTAACTTTTGGGGATCAAGCTTTGGAGGGCAGAGGTTCTTTCTACTCAAGTATTGTTCATTACTCTGTCTCCTCCCCTAAGTGCAGTGACTGGCATTTAATAGCACTCAGTAAATATTGATGAAGGAGTGAATGATCAGGTGTTTAGAAAGTCTGGGGTGAGACTCTGAGTGAGTATATACCATGCCAATAAGGGAAGTCTCTAAGGAGTGTTTCTGTCCTGAGTTGTTTTGAACCACAGTAGAGCCATTGGATGGTGAAAAGTTTCTGCCTCTATTTTGGCTTGAAAAAGAGAAGACTTTGGGAGCTATGACAATTTTTTTTTTTTAACTTTACCAGAGGGTTGTGCTTATAGAGGCAGAAATCCATTACCCCCATTAGAAAGTATGCCCAACTCCCCTGATAATGGGCCATAGCTTCTAAAATTGTACTGCTGAGTCCTTTGTACCAGAAGTTACTATAGTTACAGAGAATGGGAAGGTGGAAATCCCTTGAGCGGTTTGCGCTTAACTGGGTAGACTTTTGTATATTAGTGTTGGAAAGTATTAAGACAATACTTTCAGATTTGATAACTGCTAGCAGATGTCAAAAAATAGTTACCTTTTATCTATCGAACACTTGACCACGATGATAAGGCACAGTGCCAGAGCTTTATATACATAATATCTCACCAAATACTTCAGTTGACGCTGTGAAAGAAATATTGTTAACATCCTTACACAAGAAGAAACCGATGTATCAGCGCCTCGTGCCTACAGTCGTAAGTCAGGCCGACGTGGTGTGTGTGCGCATGGAGCTTCACGCGGGGCTTGAAGGGGTTGAATGACTTGCCCAAGGTCACACACAGACAGGTCTGCGGAGTTTAGGCCTGTCTGACTGGAAAACCTTTTATTTATGCTGTTCTCTTGTCTTAGGTAAAGCAGACAGATTACCAGATGTAAGGACAAGTATAGTTTTTGTTGGGGGATACATGAGTGGGGAAGAGGTAGAGATGTCCCGTGGAAACCTTGTCTCACTTTCAGCACCAAGTAAAATTTGCAGTTTTGTCAATGCTAGTGATAAAAATTATGTGGTAGTTTGTAGTAAGTTAGTATTAAAAAGTTTTTTTTCCCGTTCATTTTTTCTCTTCCCTTACCCCTACACTGCAGCTTTCTGGAGCTTAATAAATACAAACTCCCTTTATCACTGTGGATGATATTTAAGACTAACTAGAAAAACCTAGATAAGAATTTGGCTACTTTTATTATTACTGAAGTAGCTGTCATCAATTATAATTTTTATTCTCAACAATATACTTTGATTGGACTTTTTGCATATTTGTAATCCTGTGTTGGATGTGTTTTATTGTGATACTAATATTTTTGTAAATAGTATAGCAAAGAACTGGGAAAGGTTAACTTTGCCGCATGTCCAAGAGGATGAGATGGTTGGGTGGCATCACTGACTCAATGGACGTGAGTTTGGGTAAACTCTGGGAGTTGGTGATGGACAGGGAGGCCTGGTGTGCTGCGGTTCATGGGGTCACAAGAGTTAGACACGACTGAGTGGCTGAACTGAAGTTGTTTACCTTTCAGAGGTGTATTTTTGAAGGAGTAATTACTGCCTCTCTATGTTCAGGGTGTGCATTTTAGGGCAGAGGGAATGTTCTTGAGTCTTTTAACTTAGTGGACAACATGGACAAATGAAATATCGACAAATATTTGGCATAGAGGTTTGATTGCTGTCTTGCTATTTGGTAAGTAAGACTGTTTAAAAACAAAGTAAAAAGCAGGTACCTCCCACTTTCTACCTAAACTATCATTATTTCATGAGGTAGAGCACATTTTAATACAAAAACAAAAATAAAAGAAAAAGATAAGAAAGGAGGAAGGACATGATTTCATAATAAAGAGAGTTCCAATATAATAAGTTTATTTTATTTACAACATTGTTCTTTTCCACATTTTTGCTAGGGACTGTTGAAAACTTGTTTTAAGGAACATTTGGGGAAATTATTCATTGGACTTCCCCTGTTGTGTTGCAGTATTTACACATGTTATGTAGATTTCCATTACTTGTATTAGAAACATGGATAGAGCTACTCTGTGTGGTTTTCATGGTCCCCGTGGTATTCAGCATAGCATGAGTTGGACTGTCTAGAATGAATTGAAATTTGAGTTTTTTAGTGTTTACCAACCCAGTTAACTTTTGGGGATCAAGCTTTGGAGGGCAGAGGCTCTTTCTACTTAAGTATTGTTCATTGCTCTGTCTCCTCCCCTAAGTGCAGTGACTGGCATTTAATAGCACTCAGTAAATATTGATGAAGGAGTGAATGACCAGGTGTTTAGGAAGTCTGGGGTGAGACTCTGAGTGAGTATATACCATGCCAATAAGGGAAGTCTCTAAGGAGTGTTTCTATCCTGAGTTGTTTTGAGCCACATTAGAGCCATTGGATGGTGAAAAGTTTCTGCCTCTATTTTGGCTTGAAAAAGAGAAGACTTAGGGAGCTATGACAATTTTTTTTTTTTAACAGTACCAGAGGGTTGTGCTTATAGAGGCAGAAATCCATTACCCCCATTAGAAACTATGCCCAACTCCCCTGATAATGGGCCATAGCTTCTAAAATTGTACTGCTGAGTCCTTTGTACCAGAAGTTACTATAGTTACAGAGAATGGGAAGGTGGAGGGGAGAGAGTTTGGGAGAAAGATGTGACGAAATATGATTTAAAGATGTTTTTAGGGTAGTTGACTCAAACTACCATACTTGTTCAGTTTTTCCCAGGTATGGTAAAAGCAAAAGAGAAAAAACTTAATTCTTTGTACTCTACTTCAGTCAAATTTTTAACTCAATATCAATAGGTTTTTTTCAGTTTTGTTTTTATGTAAGTAGTGAGTATTACCTGCTTTAAGTTAACATAATGCAGAGAAAGCAAAAGTTTGCCTTGGTTCACCCCTACCCTCCGTCTAGTTTTCTCTCCAGAGGTCACTGACTACCATTACCAGTTTAGATTTTCTTCTAGACCTGTATTATGGGATACAGTAGTTTCCAGTCACATATTACTGTTTATATGAGAGTCCCTTGGACAGCAAGGAGATCCAACCATCCATTCTAAAGGAAATCAGCCCTGAATATTTATTGGAAGGACTGATGCTGAAGCTGAAACTCCAATACTTTGGCCACCTGATGCGAAGAACTGACTCATTGTAAAAGATCCTGATTCTGGAAAAGATTGAAGGCAGGAGGAAAAGGGGACGACAGAGGATGAGATGGTTGGATGGCATCATCAACTCAATGGACATGAGTTTGAGTAAACTCTGGGTGTTGGTGATGGACAGAGAGGCCTAGCGTGTTGCAGTCCATGGGGTCCCAAAGAGTTGGACACGACTGAGCGGCTGAACTGACTGAACTGATTACTATTTAAATTTAAAGTAGTTAAAATTAAGTAAAATTTAAAATTCAGCTTCTCAGTCACAATAACTGTATTTCAGAGATCAGTAGTCAGGTGTGGCTGGCAGCTACCATATTAGACTCTGTATATCCAGAATAGTTTCTTTATTGTAGAAAGCCCTATGTAAAACTTCATAGCCTTTTCCACAAATGGCATCAACATGTACATGTTCTTCAATTTTTTTCTTTAACTGTATGAATTGGAGGTCTTTTGTTGTTAGTATATGGTTTCCTTCATTCTTTTTAGTTGTTGTGTAATATCCCATAGTATTATGCCATACTGTATTTATTTTAATATGGTATGATTCAGTTCAGGTCAGTTGCTCAGTCGTGTCTGGCTCTGCGACCCCATGGACTGTAGCACGCCAGGCCTCCCTGTCCATCACCAACGCCCGGACTTTACTCACACTCATGTCCATGGAGCCGGTGATGCCATCCAGCCATCTCATCCTCTGTCTCCCCCTTCTCCTCCTGGGAGCTGTGTAAAAATGAGTTCTTTCTTGAAGTGGTGAGCTTCACTGGGAATTGTAATTATGTAACTTCAGGAAGAGACCTTTGAGGTCATTTGGTCACTCCCTACTCCTTATGCATGAAAAAAAGCAGGCCTGGAGAAGTGAAATGGCTTACCCCAGGGCATTTTAGAGAGTGAATGGCAGACCCTGGGCTAGAACTCCGCTCAGTGTTTCCAGGTCTTGAGGTCTTTTCAACATCGGTATAAAAAGGCCTGATTAACCTTCTCTCAGATTTTATGAAAGAAATTCCTTAATTGGAGGGCAGGTGGAAACTTAACACGAGTCAACTTCTCACCATTATGAGTCAGAGGCTAATTTTATAATTGGGTCTTTGGGGTTGAATTGTTTTTAAATGCAAGAAATTTGAGAAGCAGGGGATGCCCCTTCAAAGTTCAACTGTGGAGCTATCCTTTTCTTAGGTATTGAACACCTAATTAAGCCCATCACGTTTGATCTTGAATTGGTTAATGCGTTATTTTAGATCAGATAAAGTAGCCTCAGTCTTTGGTACCTGTTGCCTTTAAAACTTTAAGCAGTCTTGCCTACTGATATCACAATTAGGTTTTTATATAGTAGAATCACTATAACAATTTTATCAAATGACAGCAGTGGAATATTTTTAAGTACTTGCTATTTGAGTAACTGGGTATTTTGAATCTATATTTAAATTTCAGAGGCTTTGTGTGCTATATATTTAGATACCTTGGTCTCTGTCAGCAGACTGTTTCTTTTCCAAGCCAACCGGGTGAGAGGTCCAAAATCCATCACCACCATTAGAAAACCACTTTACCATGAATGCGTCTCTGATAGTGTGTCAGTAGTTATTAAATCTGTATTTTTATAGCTTTATTACCAACAGGTTGCTTTAGTGATCAAGGAAAAGTTTTATAAGAGAAATGTGTTTTGGAGGAAAGCTGATGTATCTGATCTGTTTTTTTCAGATATGAAAAAAGCAATGAAAATGGGAGTCAAAGAAAATGAGTAATACAACTTTTTAAAGCTTTGAATGTAGATTAGTAGTGGGTAAGAGGAACTAAGTTAATGTAGCTTTTCGTGCATGCTTTGACCTAAGGTTCTGATACCACATAAATTCTAGAAGGTACTCCAGAGACTATCTTAGCCAGTGCTGAAACGAAGTGTCCTTAGGAAGTCAGGTTCAAGATATCTTTTGGCTGGAGAATGCCTAGAAATCTTGGATAACTTAATTAAATCAGGCTACCAAAAGGTGAGATTTGTTTTCTTCTCATTTTGGGAAGTCTGTAAATTTT